ATGGATTTGGCAGGTTTTCATTCACTCAGAGACCTTGCACTTTATGCATCAAGTTGTAGCTAATGTCCAAGCCATAAGGTGTCCCTGATTACACTGGAGGATGGAAAAGGCAGTTTTGAAATTTGCACTGGAGGGGAAAAACCAAGGGAACCTGGCACTCTGCTTGCTTGTCTCAATGTATTTAGGTACCTCTCTGCAGCAAACCAAAATGACGGGGGAAAAAAAAAGAGTCTGAAGGAAAAAAAGTGATCTGTTGGATCAGGGAAAAATGTTCTCAGTCCTACCTGGCAGCAAACTGCACATGGCAGGAAGGCAGATCCAAAGGCCAGTCTGCGCCCCCATGGTCTCAGTCCTGTTCTCCAGATACTCTGAGATGAGAGAGCTCAGCCCTGCTCCAGAGTAGGGCTGTCTATCATGCCTTCCACAGCTCTAGTCCCATGATTAAACACATCTTGCTGTTCTCCAGTTATTCTGATAGGGCTTGGTCCTTGTACCTGAGTAGGGCTGACTTTCATGCCTTCCCTAGCATAGCCCCATGATTAAACTCAGCTTGTCGATATCTGACTTTTCTCTGCTCCATGCCCACCTCTGGTGGCTACTGCCTCCTAGACACTGTGGTAGGCTATCTCCACTGCCCACTAGACACTGTGGTAGGCTATCTCCACTGCCTACTAGACACTGTGGTAGGCTATCTCCAGACTCCTTGAATTGTAGTTGTTCTGTCCTCAGATCTCCAAAATGTCTCAGTCTCAAACAATAGGCCCTCCTCTCAAGATGGCAACTTGCTATAGCACTGGATGATATAAGAAGCAGCATAGTGGATTTCTTTCCCAGTGCTGAGCTACCATACAGGAGTCACTGTAATATCAAATCCTCTTATTGGATTTATGAATTACAAAAACTGTGAGCTTGCTCTTTTGCTAGGACTGCCAGTCTTTCACCAGAGATGTCAAGCTTATCTTCCTTGCGATTATGACTTTGTTACCCCAGTCATCCCTTCCCCTGCCCTGTACCTGTAGCTAAGGCTAAGAGCTGTTTCCTCTTTTTTGTTTCCCTACATAACCTGTTTATTACTAATCGTAACACCTTCCATGATTCCCTATGTTGTTCCTCTGTATCTTTGTAATAAAGACTGTTTTGCTACCCAGGCTTTCTTAATGAGTCTTCTAATCCTCTACCTTCCAGGCCCCTGTCTCCGACATGTAACTTTAATGAAGTCAATTATCTTCTAATGGGGAGAAATTAATTTTCAAATATTCCAACAAAATGACATTTTTAATGTGTTATCCTGATACTCTCACTATGGGAATTACCAACTAAATCCTTAAATGACTCTGTAAGAGAAATAATAAACATACTTCAAATATATGAAGGATACTGGTTTTACTACTGAAAGTAAGAGAATTGAGAGATATAGAAATAAATTGGAGATGTAGTCATGTCTCTATTAACAAAGATGATACCAAACAATTCCTTTTTAGGGATTTTCTTTCCCATCTTTGCCCATCCCCCTCCCAGTTTTTCTAGTTATCACTAAAATTTGCTTTTGAAATAAGAAATGATAAGCCTCCCTGATCACAAGGCTGAAGAGATGGCTCAGAGGTTAAGAGTGCATACTGCTCTTCCAGAAGACCTGAGTTCAGTTCCCAGCATCCACATGGAAGCTCACCACTGTCTGCCTGTAACTTCAGTTCTGAGGATTCTGACATCTTCTGGCCTCTGCTAGCACTACATGCATGTGATGCACAGACATGCATCTGGCAAAACACTCATACACATAAAATAAAATAAAATCTCAAAAAATTAAAAAAACATCCCTGAACACTTTGTAGATTTTTCCAGATTTTGTGACTTCTTAAAGGGATAAAAAGAGGAATTGAAAACTAGTGATTTCCTGCCTTGAGCCTACAAATACCATCACAATTGTATTTGTAATGGCTTCTCTGCTTTCAGTTTGACAAATGGTTGGAGCATTCTATTGTCTCATTTCCTATTTCCTGTCTTTTGTGTTATCTCTTGAGTCCTGTTACTATTTCCCAAATAGACTAGCACTTGTACAACCATCTATCTCAATAGTTTGGCTTCCGGTATCCGAGATTGCCTTGCTGGCTCTGCTTCTGCTCCCATTCCCTTCTAGGATTAGGGAGGTACTCCTTCATTGCAGCCCTCTGCTGCCATCTGGTGGTCAAAGGATTTATCCATTTCTCTACCTTGTCTCCTCCACTGATGCTTTTAAGACTGGGGCTTCTTCCATTTGACAGGATTAACACTTTATGGCTAATGAGTTAATTTTTAAATGCAAACTTTAATTCTAATGTAGAAATAAAACATCCTCAAATAAGTAATTTTGGAAGTTCTACATTTCTAGTGAGAGTCATTCTCTCCAACACAGAGCTCTGCATTTAAATTGTAAATTGCTATTATAAGTTCTTTGGACTTTCAACAAGATAAAATGACAAAAATATGTCCAGTGGCTCCTTTTACAAAAAAAAATTCTGTTTTTTCTCAGTTGTCTACTATTGAGGTTTTGTATCTTTTAGATGCATGGTAGAGTCTATAAGGTCTAAGGCAAGATTCTGGGTTTGCTTCTTAAAATAATACATACTTATGTTTATTTTAATGACTAGAAGTCAATTAACACCAGTGTCTTAGGATTTCGATTTCTGTGAAGAGACACAATGAACCATGGTAACTCTTATAAAGGAAAAACATTTCACTGGGGTGGCTTACATTTTCAGAGGTTTAATCCATTATCATCATGGTGTAACACGGTGGCATGCAAGCAAACATAGTGCTGGAGAAAGAGCTGAGAGTCCTACATTTTTCAGGCAAAAGGCAGTGAGCTGAGATACTGGGCGTGGTTTAGGCATAAATGAGACTTCAAAGCCTACCTCCATACTTCCTCCAACAAGGCCACACTTACTACAACCAAGTCACACCTCCCAATAGTGCCACTCCCTTTGGGGACCATTTTCTTTCAAACAACCACAACCAAGAAGAATATTTGAGGTTTTAAACTTCAAACTAAAGCTAATATACATACCTTTGGATACACTATCTTTATAAGCAGTTTATATTCATTTCATACACCTACTTTTAATATCTACTCACAATAAGTTGTTATAAAATAGATTACCTTGACCAGTGGTAATGGTGCATGCCATTAATCCCAGCATTCAGAAGGCAGAAGCAGGTAGATCACTGAGTTCGAGGCCAGCCTGGTCTACAGATTGAGTCCCATGGGACAGCCAAGGATACACAGAGACACCCTGTCTTGAAATAAAAAAATTACCTTAATTATTCAAAATTTTATCATCCCCAATCATCCTCATTGCATACATTCCTGCTTTAAATCTAATAACCTATTTTGTTCTCCATAATCACAGTGTATCTATAAAATCACACCCAATTTATAAAGCTTGACAAATAATTCTGAATTCATTCAGTTTCAACTGTGATTTCAAATACATTAATGTATTTAAATATAATCAGTAGAGAACAAATATCAAGCATGTATTTATTATTGTAAAACAATATTAATCACATTGGTCTGGGTATGACTTGATGGTAGAGCACCTGCCCAGGATTCATGAGGCCCCAGGTTCATTTTCTTGTATAATGCATTAAAGAAATTAACAACCAATGAAAATTGGCACTCAATACCTTTTCCTACAATTGTATGTCAAAGAGATTTTTAATAAATAATGACTGGAACCACTTTCCAACACAACAATGGTGTCATTCTGTTAGCAAAACATCCTCATAGACTATAACATTTAAACTAACTCAAAGTAGCAGGTACTCAGCTCAGGAATAGTATGCTTAAGTAAATACACAAGCTCCTGGTTCAATCCCAAGCAAAAAAAAGAAAAGAATTTATCATATTTCATCTCATAAAGGGGTAAAATTATTATATATTAATTTTAAAACAGCAAAGTAAAATTATAACTTCATTTAGGAGGGTTTTCAGCCAGCCTTTAAGATCAGAAGATAAGGCTGAGCAGTGGTGGTGCACGCCTTTAATACCAGCACTTAGGAGACAGAGGCAGGTGGATCTCTTGAGGTTGAGGCCAGCCTGGTCTACAGAGCGAGATCCAGGACAGGCACCAAAGCTACACAGAGAAACTCTGTCTCAAAAAACAAAAAACAAAAAACAAAACAAAACAAAACAAAAAGATCAGAAGAATGTCAGAACAGAGATCTTAGAAGGCTCTATTATTACGAGGCTGGATGAAATGTAACAGAAAAATTTTGTATTATCTTAGTTTAGCAGAAAATACTGAGTTGCTAGAACATGAAACCTAAATCGGATTAAGTCCCAACAACCAGCTGAAAAATCAAAGTCTGAGCTTAAAGAAAGGACTACCTTAGCAGTTATAAACCTAAGCTGTATGCCTGTAACTGCTAACGTCAATTCATCATCACTGGACCTTCTATCACCCCAATCATTAAATAAGCAACTGTGATAAAATCTTCACTGTCAGGCTTTGTGGCATTTAGAAACACCATGGAAACATGCCTCTGGGTGTGTCTAGTTGGGCACAGGGTCCACATTTGTGTAATTATGATAGCAAGCACATGCAGCCTAGTTTTAAGATGTTTTGAATTCTTCAGAACTTGACTTCCTAACTTTAAAAAAAGCCCTTTATTTGTTAAGTTTAGGTGCTTGGGAAGAATTTATTCATTAAATTCAAAGTACTGCCTAAGTAAAAAAATCAAATTTATTTTAAAAATTTAAGGAAATAGATAAATATGTATTAAATATAAATGACTGCTGTTTGTATGAAATACATTTAACATAAAAAATAAACATAGCCTAAGTTTAAATTTAAAATATGAACATGATTAAATAATTCTTGCCAACATTTCCTTATCCCTTACTTAATAAAGGTTCTCAATAGATATTATTTAAGTTACATAGTGTTGCTTCAATTTTTAATTTAAGTCACTCATCTAATTATGAACACTAAATAATAAAAAATCCATTTCAGTATACAAAATAAAGTTTGTCTCAGATTTTAGCTCTTAAAGTTTATTATTAATAATATAAGCACATTCATTTTTCTTAAAGGGCAGCATTGAGAATTGCTTACATACAACACATTATGAATAGAAAATAAGTAAATTTTTACCTTATAAGAATAGCTGATACAAAAATAATTCACCTGAGAATAAATTTTCATTTATGTAATATGCTCTTTCAAGGAAAAAGATGAAAAACCAATGTTAACAATTTTAAAAATACATTAAGAAAAAGCCTTTACTATTTTAAAAGAATTAATGCCTACTAATATGCTACATGAAAATATACGATGGCATCTTAACAAATGCAAAAAGTGCAATCAGAATGAGCTACTGAGTGACCATCAAAGAAACATGAAAACAACACCTACCCTAGTAAAATTAATTGTGCTCCTATAAGATAATTTTAGTACTAGAGGCAAAGCATTTTCATATCATTATTTAAGTATCTATCCTTCTCTTAATAGAATGTAAGAGCTTACAGAGCCAAAATCAGGTCATCTTTCTACCCAAAGAACCCATTCTGGAAACACAGTCACTGAAAGGTGTGCTGAATTAAATTACTGAAAAAAAAAAATGTTTTAATGGTGAAAACCAAAACTGACTAAAAGTAATTTTTGCCAATTAAATAAAAGAAATTTTAAAAAAAACCACTGCTTTTTATAAAAAATGAAGTGGAAGGGGGAAGAACCCACACAAAGTAAAGCATGCTTTACTTTACTAAGAATGCTTTTCATTGTTCCAAGCTGACTAGTTCCTCTCTGCTGAAGACAGCACTGCGTTCAACATTCAGTCACTCAGTAGAGCTTTGCCTTTACTCTACTTCTAATATTTGATCACAGATGGAAAATATAAGGCAGGAAGGTGATGTTGCTATTTGTATTCAACTTTTGCCTAACAAATATAGTTATTTATTTACTTGTATTGATGTGGAACAAAGTTCTGATAGCAATAATTTAAGATATTTTAAAATACATATATGTGCAAAACAAACTATACACTATAATATGATAAATTTCTATTTGACTTTCTGTCTTCTTTTGTCCCAGTTCACTTATCCTTGTTTTAAGAATTGTTTATATCTTGTATTTCTTGAGTCAGTTACTACTCTTAAAGGGGGAGGGTGGATAGCAGCTTCCAAAAGAAAAACTTAGTTCATGACCAAAATATATTTACTGAATGTGTGAAAACTAAAGCTATATTCAAAGGTTTTATCTAAAATGTTTACGAAACTTTGTATTATGTACAGAAAAATAAAATAACTGGATGTACACAACAGACAAGAAAATTATTAGACAATATAATCTCAACTTTCACTCCCTAAGAAAAATTATACTGTACATTGATCACACATTCAGAAATGTTAATAGACAGTGGACAAATCTACATGAAAAAGTGGGTGATAATGGTCTATGTTCACCATCTCTATGAAACAACTCTTTCTCAGAATGATCAAATGCTTTGAAAAACAAACAAAACCTACCTTTTTCAGTAACTGCCCTAATAAACTATAAATACAGTTTGGTTTTTTTGTTTGTTTGTTTGTTTTAAGGGTATGTGTTCTAGGTTACAGAGTTACAAAAATCACATCCCAAAAGAAAGGCCCAACATACTTAAATACTAAAAGATAGCTCTTCAAGTTTACGGCACCATTTAGCAGTGACTTGCTTAGAAAATACAATGTGCTATTTATAATTTATCAGCAAAGATAAAGATTTCCTCTTAAATATGTCTTGACTATATCTGTCATGCAGTAATCATTAGCTAAATATAAGATTCTAAAGAATCCAAAATTATAATTTGGTTATCAGGAGGCAAGCTACTGCCAATGAAATCTTACAAGAACTTAGCTGGGGGTCATAAAATTCAAGCAGACTTGTAGGATGGCTCATTTAGATTAGAGACCTCTGAGATAAGAGACTAAACAAATACCTTTGAGAATATGGACAGAAATTGTCAAAGCAAAGGAGAGGTGTCTGTCATGTACCTTGTACTGAGAAAGGAACACTTAAATTAGCTACTAGTGCCTAAAACCACAGGTGTTTCATTAACAAACAGTACCAAAAGTTCATTAAGTCTTCCCAACATTAAATAATTAGTAAGTTCTTTGAAAGTTTGACTATTTAAAGTAACTTGGGAGCAAGCCCTCTGTTCTTGCTATTGTTCTTTATGTCTCTGTAATGCAAAAGTCACACCACAATATGTTTGTTTTTGCAAAGCTAATACTTTATACAACAGATTGAAATATAGTATCAACTACCATCATTTATATTAGTATACCTGTTCATGAGTCATATATTTCTAAGATTATATTATCGTATCATATTTCAACTCTGTCATAAGAGTGAAACTCTGATTTTCAGTTCTTAATTTAACCCCTGAAGGAGTTACTATATTCTACCATGTTCCAAGGTGATTACAAGGTGGCCTTTAAAGAAATATATATGTTGATCTTCTTAAAACTCAAGAAAGAATCAAGTAATAAAATTTAGCAATAGAAATGGTTAACTAATAAGTTTCTTATCTAAGAATAAAATTAAGTGTGCCCTTTTCGAGGAAGGCAACAAAGCTTTTTGTTTTTAATCTTCATAGAGAGTTTGAGAGAAGATATAGACTAATTATACCTCCACAGACATCTGTCATTGTAGTTTCAGAGAATCAGACTATTGCATACTAAGATTCTAGCAATAATCTTTTCGTGAATTACGATCACTAAAACACATTTGAATTTTAATGTAGGCAAAAGAAACGTAACTTGAAACATCTAATTACCCATATTGAAAATCACTTACTAGAATAAGGCTTCACATTGTTTACTATGATTAATGACTGCCACCTAGTGGATGTACTCCTCAACCTCTGAACTTTTACAGATAGCAACTTCCTCTAAGAGTTTCTTTTACAAATTCTAAAGGAAAAGCCCAAAGTTTCCTCATTGCCTTATTTCTCTTTTCTATGGATTAGTCATATATTGGCCTTTTTAATTAGTACTGGAGAATTTACAATGATGTAAGATAGTATAAACTTATATATTATTCAGAATTATTCTTTTATAATTTCTTTAAGCCACAAGTTTAGAAATACTGTTTTTGTGAAAAGTGGAAATGATGGCATATAGACTACATTCAATATACGTCAGATATAAACATGCAGGTTGACAATTATACACAAATTTATTTAAGGGAAAGCCGAACACACAACCATAGCATATAAATTAAGGAGTTTAGGAAACTTCCAAGTGCTTTCATGTTTCTTCAATTACTATTCAAGTAATAAACTTTTAAAATCAGTTAAAAAAAGAATAAATAAATTCAGTGTCAGTAAGCAGAATGAGCCACAAACATTCAAAACACTACTCTGTCTTCCTGCGTTCTCTCCCACCAGAGTGTGCTGTTTAAAGTCCCACAGCTGTTGTCTTCTTCCTCCTGTTCTTTGGTCAGTTCTACAAAAACCTAGATAAAAGGAAAAGAAAAATAAACTATTCTAAAATTCAAAAGACTTGTAACTGTCAGACATGATACAATGACATAACTAACTATATTAACAAGTATCAAAAGAGTTTATTGATATTGATACTATTCAAACAAATCAAATGATGTCCTTTAGATAGAAAGACAAACATATACTTAAAGGGTTAATGTACTTTCTGATTAATCTATCAAGTAGTACTGTCATAATAACTTAAAATTATTTCAACAATTTCAAGTATTCTAATATGTAATACTACAATGAGTCTTTTCAAGTATTTACAGAAATGAATAAAAGGCTATTCAGAATTAACAAGATAAAATTCACTTGAATTAATTATTCAATAGTGTATGTATATATCAAACCATAACACTGTACTCAATAAATGTAAATAATATGAGTTTTCAATTAAAGGTTCTTTAAAAATAAAAGTGAAGGAAAAGCAAAGAGGAAGCTCAAGTTGTAATTACAGCTGTAATTATAAATGGGAATGGAGAGATGGCTCAGCGATGCCTATTGCCAAGCCCAAAGACAGAAATGTAATCACTAAGCCCCACATGGATGGGAGCTGCTTCCTACAAGTTGTCCTCTGGCCCTCACAAAAACACTGTGCCACTTGTATACCCACATCCAAACATGAAATAAATGAGTATGTTTTTAATTATATAGTTTTAAATGTCTATAATATCACAGTCTCTACAATATAAACCCAAGTGATTGCTAATAGACACACCTAACTATATAGTAATCTTTTCTAATTTAACTTTACAGTACCTGTTCCAGTGTTGCTTGAGAAAAGCTATATTCTTCAATGGCAAAAGTGTGTTTTGCTATTAAAACATAAAAATAGCATTTTACTCAGTGATATTTTAAAGGAATGAAATGGAAACAACTTGTAAGGTATCTGTTTTTTAAAAACTCTGTCAACAACTCACTCAAAACTGATCCACTACTGACCCTCAGCTATAAACATTCAGGATTAAACATTACTTGACCTAATTCACATTTTCTAAGTTATCTCCTCTTTCTCTCCTGTATCTCCTTCCTCATTATTCTTTTGTTTTCTTACGGTGTTAGATCTCTAGCCCCCATTCTCCAAACTCTGCTATAACCTGTTCTTGATTCTTAAATTGAATTCTGAACATTGATCACTATAAGCTTTCCTACATTTACTTCAAATCCCTTTGAAATCCAACCTAATACCAAATTCCATCAGTATATTTATTCCTTTAATCATAACGACATTACCAGGAAAGTAAAAATTTCAGAATTAGTAATTACTCTACAGATATTATGGAGATATGTAAGATAAAAGTAAATTTTGTCCTATTCAGAATCCCCACAGAGAATGATAAAAGTTCTATAGATGTCTCAAATTTTTAAGTTTTTGGGAATTATATACATGAGTTCTGAATTTGCATTATTCCATCCCCTTCTCTCCCTTCAAGTCCTCCTGTGTCTCCCACATTCCCTTTCAAATTCCTGACCAATCCTTTTTAAATTATTGTTACATGTATGTATGTAATTATACATACATTCATATTTATTTATCTTAGAATAAAAGAACAAAAGATTATTTGCTATAATTGCAACAATAATCTGGCTCCCAGTTCTAAGCTTTCTGAATAAAATTCTTTCATTATATGAAAACTATTTTACAATATTCTTAAATGCTACTTGCCTTCTTCCAACTTAGCAAAGGATTGTGAGAGGGACTGAACATCTTCTTTAGGGATTTTATAAGCCAAAATAGAAGAAAAGCTGAAAAACAAAGATAAAACACAGGAAAATGCAAAACTTAACTACTGCGCATGTTCAAAAGCTAAAGTTTAAATTTTTTTAAAGTTCAAATTCAAATTCTAATAATATACTTTGATACTCATTTTCCTAAAAAATTGTGCAAAATGACTGGGTAAAACCATGTAGTTATTAACCTGAAGCAGATACAAACCTGTGTCCTGACAGCACAATACAGTACTGGTGACACAGCACATTAATAAGATACTCAAAGACATAGGTAGAAATATAACTGAAAATATAACCTTTAATGATTTCTACTCTATAAAAAATATTAAATATATTTTAAAAGTTGTTACCTCTCTTGGCGGCTTGCATTTGGGAAAATATATTGAATTTCTCTTTGAAGGCGATCTATTTCCAGGTTTTCTATCCAATCCTTTAATTTAATTTCCAAAAAGTAGCCTTTGCCAAACTTACTCTTTAAATGTTGTACTGTTCCAATACATCTGAAGTAATTTTTAAAAGAAAGAGCTAAAATGGCTTGACAGTTTCAAAGAATGATTTCTCACTTAAATCTCTACCACATTTTTTGGATAAAATGACTCTGGGAATCTTTTACATGTATAGAAAAGTTGCAAGCAACACACAGCATGCTTATACACTTTATCTAGTTTCATCTTACCTAATATTATCTTCTATTTCTATGACAAATTTGTCCAAATCAAGTAACCTACATTATACAGAGCTAACCAAGATCAGACCTGGATTTATTTGATTTTGCTAGTTTTCCAGTAGTGTCGTTTCTGTTCCAGGATTCTGTTGCATGTTGTATTTAGTTGTTATGTCTCTTTAATTTCCAAAGTTATTGACACTTCTTACCTATTCGTTCTTTTTCATGACTTGTATAGTTTTAAAAAAAATACTGATCAGGTGTTTTATTGGAATTTCCTTCAATTTGTGTTTGTTTGTTATTTTCCTCATGTTAAAATAGGGTTATGACTTTTGGACAGAAAATCACAATCTGAATAATGCTTCTCATTAATCTATGCCATATTCAGGGAAGTACAGTATTTGCACACACTGCTTAGCTAAGGTATCTGTAAGCTTTTCAGCTGTGAACTTATTATTTCCCCTTTTCCTTACTCAATTTTCTAGAAGAAACCGATTATATCCAGCATAAAGCTGGGACAGGTAAGGGTAAGCTTCCTTTGAGGGACCAGCATAGACATACTATTTGAAATCATTATGTAAGGAAAATTTGCCTCTTTGGCCACGTTTATTTATCCAATCATTTATTTATGTAAATATAAACTCATATTTATTTTATACTTTGTGTTACAATTCAAAAAAATTTCTGTTACTTTAAAATAGCCCAATAATTTTAAAATAACAAACACAAGGCATAAATATACTAATATAGGTAGTTGGACATATTTTGTAAAAAAAAAAAAGAAAAAAAATTATGTATTTCCAAGAAATTACAAGAAAAACAGATTTTAAAAACTAAAAGAAATATGTTTTGACATTTCAAATTAATGCACAGTTTTCTAAGTTTTTAAAAGATCATATTCAAAATATATCCTCAATTCTCAGTCTCTGAAAAGGATGCTGTTTAAACATCTACCTTAACTGCCCGGACACCATAATTGCCACTCTGTCACAGACAGCCTCTGCCTCTTCCATGTAATGAGTAGTCAGAAGAGCAGCCCGCTTTTTGTTTTTAAATGCAGTTCGAATAGCTCTCCTACAAAATTTAAAAAAAAAAAAAAATAAGAGGAATATACCCGTTTGCTAAAAGAAATAGTTTTTTCAAAGTCCAACTATTTGACTAAAACTTACCCGCTATCAACTGCTATAAGCTATTATATCCTACCAAACTATGATTTTTCTATTCTAACTTATTTTTCTTTTGTTCTGAAACTTGACAAATGCAAAGGTATACATGGGGTTAAAATATAATAACCAGGCTAGTGTACAGCTCAGATATGGTGCACTTGCTTACAATGTACACTATCTTGGTGTCAATCACCAGAAATAAAAAAAAAAGAGGAAGTACAAAAACATGCAGGAATGAATCAATCAATGTATGATAAAATGCGATTTTTTTGTATTATAAAAAAGCTGCATACTCATAAATTAATATATAACTAAATCAAACCTTATACTTTATAAACATGGAAATTAAGGACTAAAAAGTATTCAATGAACTAGTTCTTTAAACTACTACAATGAATTACAACATCAATTCAAAACAATATTATGAAAAACATAATTTACCATTAAATGACTAGGAAAAAGCTTCCAAAATCAATTCAGAAAGAATTATTTATTTATTTATTTTTTTATTTTTATTTTTTTTTGTTTTTCGTGACAGGGTTTCTCTGTGTAGCTTTGCGCCTTTCCTGGAACTCACTTGGTAGCCCAGGCTGGCCTCGAACTCACAGAGATCCGCCTGGCTCTGCCTCCCGAGTGCTGGGATTAAAGGCGTGCGCCACCACCGCCCAGCTGAATTATTTATTTTAATAACCACTTGTATATTCATTTTTGTTCTGCAGTATATAAAATATCATGATCATTTCAACAAAGATAAGATAAAAGCTTTAAAAGGTTAAATACTTAATTACTATTTAATAAAATCAAGTTGTATACATTACTAACAGGAAACTATTAGCTATAATGACTCTAAACCATAACGTAATGCACTGTGACAAGTGTCTGTAGTGTCATACTCACCACATGTGCTGTTTGGCTCTGGGGTCCATACCTGTGGATGGTTCATCCAGTAGAGTAACCTGTGGGTTCCCCAGCATACTGAGAGCAAAACACAGCTAGAGGGAAGACAGAGGGAAGCTGGACTAAGACTTCACTCTGAGGATGTCTGTCTAGAGAGCAAAAAGCACTGAACTAATACAATAGATGTTATTGGGGGCCGACCCCGGATAGCTGTGTCTTGAATTTTGTGTGACCTTCCTTACTTTATCAAACCTTGCAAAAAACAGGTTCCTGGCCTAACCGCGGGCTGTACAACTTCCTGGAGTACCTGCTAATCAGCCAGCTGCAGGGGCCTGGGACCAAAGCGACCTCACCCTTCCTTAGGAATTTTCCATTCTTCTCTCCTTTTGCTTCCCCTGCCCCCCTCCCTGCCTGAAGCCCTGCTTATAAGCCTCAATACCCAGTCAATAAACGAGACCTTGACGCGACTCAGACTGACTCTGTCTTCCTTTATGGCGCCTGGTCTCCTTTCTCTCTCGCCCCCATTGATCTTTCAGGAGGTGCCTCCTCGGGTCTCCCCAATAACCTGGCCCGCGGGACGGGTCAAGATGTATTTGTTGTCTAATAAAAAGTACCTTTCTCTTGATCCCTGCAGGTAGTTTCTTTATAGTTTTCTGAAGATGTTCTTTCAAATCAAGGGCATTTGTTATTCTGTAAAATGGTCAATATAAAATTAATGTACCTGAATCTGTATTAATACAAATATAAATTATGTAAGATCACTAACACTGTTCTCTCTAAAAGAGTCACTCAGGTAATGTTTAGTATAATTAGATAAGAAAAAAATCTCCAGTTTATATCATTTTAAACAAATTGTCTTGATAAATGAGTCACTTAATTTTCATATCATTTAGTGGGTACCTTCTTCCTATAATTAAAAATAGGAAGATAGAGCCAGGCAATGCTGGCACCTGTCTTTAACCCCAGCACTTAAGAGCAGAGGCAGGCAGATCTCTGAGTTCAAAGCTGGCTGGGACTACATAGTAAGACTATCTCAGAAAATAACAACAAATTAGGGGGAAAAAAAAAGCCAGAAATAAAGAGTTGCCTTTTTTTCATAGGTATCATAATTTTGTAAAGAATACATGAAAAGTAATGACCATTTTTCTATGAAAATTATCTACAAAAAATGCTTGTTTTAAATGATTCACTTAATTTTCATATTATTTAATGGGTACCTTCTTCCATTAATTAAAAATAGGGAAATAGAGCCAGGCAATGCTGGCACCTGTCTTTAACCCCAGCACTTAAGAGCAGAGGCAGGCAGATCTCTGAGTTCAAAGCTAGCTAGGACTACATAGTAAGACTATCTCAGAAAATAACAACAAATCAGAAAAAAAAAAAAACCAGAAATAAAGAATTACCTTTTTTTCATAGGTATTACAATTTTGTAAAGAATATATGAAAAGTAATGATCATTTTTCTATGAAAATTATCTACAAAAATGCTTGTTTTAAATTTTAAAAATTTTGAAATATACACTTCCTGCCCCCATGTAGCAAAAGCAATCTAAAGACAATCAATTTACCGACTTATTACTTCTTTCATGTCACTTGAACTCATTCCTTTCACAGCTCCATAAATTTCAAAATGTTCTTTCAGAGTAATATCTGGCCACAGTGGGTTTGTCTGAGGGCAGTAACCCATACACTTAATGGATTCATCATCTTCATTTGAATGTGAAATATAATCACCTAGAAATATCTACAAAAAATGCAAACCAAATTTTAGTATCTTTGCTTACTTGTATTGTGAAGGAGACAGAAAGTAAGTAGATTCACTTAAATTCCATCCCTCAGCCACAGGACTATTTAGCCAGGGTTGTATTGCTTTTTAAAGGTGCCAGGACTTGCATAGCTAAGTCAGAGTTTAGAGAAACGTCTAGAAAAGGTGGTAATTCTACACTGTTGAGGGAAATCAAGCCACAATTTTAAGTACTGCCAACATGGGGCTTCATTGAAAGTTCATATTTAAACCAATGAGTTAAGTAAAATAAGTCCTTTGTATTTCTTGGATATAGGGTATAACTGACATAAGGAACAGCTCAGGCAAAATCTCAAAGAAAAGAGTATTCCTTGTAATTCATAGGAGAACAGTGAGTCTATCTGGTGTGAAGAGAACAAAGGGAAAACAAACAGGAAAGGAAAACAGCACAGACACTGGGGGGCTCTACCAACTGTAAGTTGCTGTGGAACAATCCTTTTCTACACTATGAATATGTATGTGTCTATTTGAGTATGATAATTTCACCATTTGTATTACTTTCACAGATGATCAAAATATCTTAATCTCATCAGTCTATACTAAACATACTAAAACACATGAAGTTTGACCATCAAATTCATAATTTGTCAATAGTAAACTTATCTTAATTAAAAATATGTTATATTAGACATCACCCACACTCTTACATCATACCTGGCCTGAAGTAGGTTCAATATCCCCAACCAGAATATTAATAATTGTGCTTTTGCCAGCACCATTTGGACCCAACAGTCCCAAGATCTCTCCTATAGGAATTGAGAGAAAAATTATATATTAAAGTCAAACTAAAAATGGAAATTACTCTTCTGAAAAACTTACTTAAGAAAAATAAATACCAACCTTTTCTCACACAGAATGAAATGTATTTTGTTGCTACTTTCTTTGTTTTTCTTGAATGAAGAAAATCTTTCTTGTCATCATATTCTTTATGTAAATTGCATACCATAATGGCTGGCTTCTAATAAGCAAAATAGGTTTTATAGAGTTATAAATTAGATGCCTATCATTTCATATCTCATACATGTATCCTGAGAACTATATCCACTTATAAAACAGCAGTGTACAAACAAGTTTCACATTCATATGCAATGAAAAATATTTATTAATTCCTATACCTTTGGTAATTTGCCATTTTAGACTTAATGTGACTTAGCAATAATGAGCAAGTTACCTCCTCACAACACTGGCAGCTCATCAGCTCTTTAACCTTCAATCTTTCAGCTTTGACATCTTCATCTTCATCCTCATTGATTGGTGGTTCTGGAAACTTCTTATTTTTGGACTTCTGTGAGAGTGTCCTAGATACACAGAAAGAGTGGATGGTTATATAATTAAAATATTAAGAAATTTAAGCACTATATAGGGAAAAAGGTTTTAAAAGAACATCAACATGAGACTTAATGTTACCTCTGAAAAGTAAAATTACAAATGGTGATTTTCACTTATTGTTAGCGCTTAAATGATATTTTCCAATCCAGTCATTTTGTCACTATTATACTCTATAACTAGTATGTTTAAGGCGTTATTCCACAGGGAAAACAAACAAGCAGAGGCTGAAGAGATGGCTCAGCAGTCAAGAACAAGCACTGTCCTCCCCAGGCCATGAGTCTGGTTGCTAGCACCACATCAGGAGGCTCCAAATGCCCTATAACTCCAGCTCTGAAGGATTCGATGCCCTCTTTGGCCTTGGCTTTCACTCACACAAACATACACACATATACATAAATTTTAAAGGCATAATCTTTAATTTAAAAAATGAATATTTTATCCAAAGAAATTGCAGTCTAAATATACACAAAATTGAGTAGATAAGGCTGAAACACAAATCCAAAGGAATATTCTCTTGAATGGCATACAGAGAATGAAGTAGTTGCAAAGAAAATTTGAATAGGAAGATAGGCAAAGAAGTAAATGAAGGTGACACTATAAGAAACAAAAGGACAACAGAAAAGAATATGGAAGGGGAGTCAACAAAGTAATTAAGCAAGCTGAGCCTACTAGACAAAGCAAAGATAGTGAAGATACTATCAGTGGAGAGTTAAAAGGACCCAAATTATTCAGAAATTAAGGAGAAAGTGGGAGTTAACAACTAAAGACAGGTGTTTGATTATGAACGCAAACAGGGATAATATAATGAAACAGAAATGGATTTATATTTGAATAAGATTTTTAGGTCCTTAATGGAAAAAATTCCTCTTTCCTAAATTAAGATTCTGAAGGAAGGGGCTGAAGAGATAATTTATTTGGTGAAGTGCTTGCCATATAAGAACTAGCACCCGAGCCTGGATTTTCAGCATTTATTTAAAAAGCTGGGTACGGCAGCACAATTCTGTAATCTCAGTGCTGGAAGAGTGGAAGTTGAAGGATCCCTGAGGTAGAGATTGAGGAAGACATCAACACTCCAGCCTTCACATGCACATACACTGCACATGTACATGGATAAACACACATACACTATAGCACACAAACATACATGAATACACATACATCAATCAGAAGGATGATATAGAAACAGGAAAAAAAAAAGCCTGATCAAGCAACATTCTTAAGTACAAGGAATCAATGATTCATAACAGAAGGCCATCGCTTCCTCTGGGACAGGGAAAAGGCAAAAATATTGGGCAGTTATCCTATGAAGCAAAACCTGAACAATCCAATACAGCTGAAGCACAAGAAGATGACCTTAAAACCAATCTTATGAAGATATAGAAGTCTTTAAAGTGGAAATAAAAAACTGCCTTAAAGAAATTGAGGAAAAGACAAACAAAAATTGGAGGCAATCAATAAGTCCCTTAAAGAATGCTAAGAAAACAAACAGGTGAAGGAAATTGTCCAAGACCTGGAAACGGAAACAGAAGCAATAAAAAAAAAATCACAAATGGAGGGATTCTGGAAATGGAAAATCTGGGTAAGTGAACAGGACCTACAGATACAAGTATCACCAACAGAGTATAAGAGATGGAACAGAGAATCTCAGGCATTGATGATAACAACAGAAGAAATAGATATATTGATCAAAGAAACTGTTAAATCTAAAAAAATTCCTAATGCAAAACATCCAGGAAATCTGGGACACTAGGAAAAGACCAAATATAGGATAATAGGAATAGGAGAAACAGAAGAAACCCAGCTCAAAACCCAGAAAATATATTTAACAAAATCATAGAAAAATATTTTCCTAACCTAAAGAAGGAAATTATTATAAAGGTACAAGAAGCTTACAGAACATCCAATAGATTGGACCAGAAAAAAATTCCCCATGCCACATAATAATCAAAATACTAAATATACAGAACACAGAAAGAATATTAAAAGCTGCAAAGAAAAAAATCAAGTAATATATAAAGGCAGACCTATAAGAATTACACCTGACTTTCTCAATGGAGACTCTAAAAGTCAGAAGGACCTGGACAGATGTCTTGCAAATTCTAAGAGACCATAGATACCAGCCCAGACTACTATACCCAGCAAAACTTTCAATAAGCATAGATGAAGAAAATAAGATATTCCATGACAAAGTCAAATTTAAACAATATCTATCCACAAATTTAACTCTAGAAAAAGTACTAGAAGGAAAACTCCAACCAAAGGAGGTTAATTACACCCATGAAAACAGAGGCAATAAATAACCTCACACCAGCACAACTCAAAGGGAAACACACACACACACGCACACACACACACACACACACACACACACACACGCACACGCACACACACACACACACACACACACACTCAACAATAACAATAACAAAATAGAAGGAATTAACAATCATTGGTCATTAATATCTCTCAACATCAATGGACTCAATTCCCCAATAAAAAGACATAGGCTAACAAAATGGATATGAAAGCATGATTCATCCTTCTGCTGCATAAAAGAAACACACTTCAACACCGAAGACAGACATTACTTCAGAGTAAAGAGTTAGAAAAAGATTTTCCAATCAAAAGGACCTAAGAAAAAAGCTGGTGTAGCTACCCTAATAAATAACAAAATAGACTTTAAACCAAAATTAATAAGAGATAGAGAAGGATATTTCATACTCATCAAAGGAAAAATCCACCGAGAAGACATGCCCCAGACGCAAAGGCACCCACATTCATAAAAGAAACATAACTAAAGATAAATCATACATCAAACCTCACACATTAAGTAGGAGATTTCAATAACCTACTCTTACCAATGGACAGGTCATCCAAACAAAAACTAAACAGAGAAATAATGGAGGTAATAGATGTTATGAATCAGAAGGACCTGACAGATATCTACAGAACATTTTACCCCAACACAAAAGAAGATATCTTCTTCTAGCACCTCATGAAAAATTCTCCAAAACTGACCACATCCACTGTCACAAAGCCAGTTTAAACAGACACAAGAAAAATGAAATACCGCCCCCTGTACCTTATCAAACCACCATGGATTATAGCTGGGTTTTAAGAACAGAAACAACAGAAAGCCTAAAAACTCATGGAAACTGAACAACTCTCTACTGAGGTGCCACTGGGTCAAGGAAGAAATAAAGAAATAAATAAAAGAATTCCTAGAATTCCATGAAAATGAATGCACAGCATATCCAAATTTATGGAACACAATGAAAGTGGTGCTAAGAGGAAAGTTCATAGCACTAAGTGCCTCCATAAAAATCAGAGAGGACTCGCCGGTCGGTGGTGGCGCACACCTTTAATCCCAGCACTCGGGAGGCAGAGCCAGGCGGATCTCTGTGAGTTCGAGGCCAGCCTAGACTATCAAGTGAATCCCAGGAAAGGCGCAAAGCTACACAGAGAAACCCTGTCTCGAAAAACCAAAAAGAAAAAAAAAAACAGAGAGGACTCATACTAGCAACCTAACAGCTCAGCCTGAAAGCTCTTGAACCAAAGAAACAGACACACCCAAGAGGAGTAGAAGGCAGGAAATAATTAAACTGGGGATTGAAATCAATAAAATAGAAACAGAGGACAATACAAAGAATCAATGAAACCAAGAGTTCATTCTTTGAGAATATCAACAAGACAGATAAAAGATAAACCCTTATCCAAACTAACTAAAAGGCAAAGAGAGAATATTCAAACTAACAAAATCAGAAATGAAAAGAGGGCTATAACAACAGACACTGAGGAAATTCAGAGAATCATTAGATGTACTTTACAAAATTGGAAAATCTAAAAGAAATGGACAATTTTCTCGTTAGATACCACTTACCAAAGTTAAATCAAGAACAGATAAACAACTTAAATAGACCTATAACCCCCAAGGAAATAGAAGTAGTTATTAAAAGTCTCCCAACCAAAAAAGAAAAAAATGTCCAGGACCAGATGATTTTAGCACAGAATTCTACTGGACTTTCAAAGAAGAGCTAATACCAATACTCCTCAAATTATTCCACAAAATAGAAACAGAAGGAACACTGTCAATTCATTTTATAAGGCCACAATCACCCTGATACACAAACCACACAAAGACTCAACAAAGAAAGAGAATTACAGACCAATATCCCTCATGAACAATGACGCAAAAATACTCAATAAAATACTCACAAACCAAATCCAAGAACACATCAAAAAGATCATTCACCATGACCAAATAGGCTTCATCCCACAGATGCAGGGATGGTTCAACATACAAAAAACTGTCAATATAATCCACAACATAAACAAACTGAAAAAAAAAAAAAAACAACACATAATCACCTCATTAGATGCTGAAAAAGCCTTTGACAAAATCCAACACCCCTTCATGATGAAAGTTTTGGAGAGATCAGGGATACAAGAAACATACCTAAACATAATAAAGCCAAAATATACAGCAAGCCAACAGTCAACATCAAATTAAAGGGAGAGAAACTTAAAGCAACGCCACTAAAATCAGGGACAAGACAAGGCTGTCTACTCTTTCCATATCTATTCAAGTATAGTACCTGAAGTTCTAGAGAGAGCAACAAGACACTTAAAGGAGATCAAGAGGATACAAACTGGAAAGGAAGAAGTCAAAGTATTGCTATTTGCAAATGACATGATAATACACATAAACAACCCAAAAAATTCTACCAAGAAACTCCTACAGCTGATAAAACACCTTCAGCAAAGTGGCCAGACACAAAATACACTCAAGAAAAACAGTAGCCTACCTATATACAAATGATAAATGGCCAGAGAGAGAACTTGGGGAAACCACCCTTCACAATAGCCACAAATAATATATCTTGGTGTAACTCTAACCAAGCAAGTAAAGACTTGTAAGGGAAGAACTTCAAGTCTTTGAAGAAAGAAATTGAAGAAGATATTAGAAGAT